TAACAGAAATAACAAAGAAGAATGGATTTTTGCAGACATGTTCCGCGCTCATGATGCACATCGGGCAAGGTGGGAAAGGGAGTTTGTTCGAAGGGAACCAACCTTACAAACTGGGGCTGCAGAAGAGACGGTGCATGAAAATGTTTAATGTCACGTCTAGGCCTTACATGATCTCGACTCAGTATGGAGGCCTCGTAAGTTTGAATTTGAATAAATTTATGATGATCATCATCATATATATGCAGCTAATTATTAAATATTAACAAATGTGTTGTAAGTAACTATTTATAGTTAGCTTGTTAATTAATTAAGAATTATGGTTGGTATTAATTAATTAATTTATCTTGATTTCTTAATATTTCAGAATCTTAAGTTGGCTCTAAAGCAATTTGGGAGCAACCTTGTTTTCACTAATGGCCTGAAAGACCCGTACAGTCGTGCTGGGTAAATGAGCAGCACATATACACATTCCACATTAATTTATTTAGTGTGTTTATGTATTTTCACTAACTTCGACCTCTTGATTGTGAATTAGGGTTTTGGAAGACATTAACGAGAGTATCGTTGCTATAACTACTCAAAACGGTGCGTTTAATTTCCATAACTTCTTGATTTGTTGATATTACACAACTAATATTGAGAAACACAATTAATGTTGTGTGAATTGTGAAGGTTCGCATGCTCTCGACATGGTTGCACCAACCGAGTCTGACCCAAGTTGGCTCGTTGACCAAAGGAACAAAGTGGTTCAGACAGTACAAAAATGGCTCGATCAGTACTATGCTGATCTCACCGAATATTTGAAGAATAATTAGAGCAAGGACAAGAAATATCGCGTCTTTAGCTTCCAAGGAGTCGGGCCATCTATGCAAGAATATAATGAAAACTATGTTGTAATAGAATTTACAATAAAATAACAACAATAATAGTGATAGTACTATATAAGTTGAATAAGTCCCACGAGGATAATATAATGTTGGTGTGTACGTAGTGATATTCTTATTATAGTATTAATGTGATGGATGTAGTAATTTAGTTGCATGCATAATAAGTATTTGGTGTGTATTGAGTGATGATATATATAGAAGCAATGAAGTGATTGTCTTTGTATTTGTAATTTGTAATATTGATTATTAATGGAATAAATATAGTGTTTCGTTTATAATTTGTGTCTCTCATGATCAGTCTTTTTGGTGAGCAATGGTACATGAAAAAGCTCTCGTACAATTTTGTTATGGGTTAAGAATAAAATATCAGGACTTAAATATGTTTAAAAATCAAATCCAAGTTTCTTTTATTTAATTAACTATAAAACCATCTATAAAGTGGAGCTCAATATGTCATTATTTCGCTTATTTGGTATTAAAAAAAAAAAAGAAAAAAAAAACTATAAAACAATCTGTTTTTAAATTTTTAATTAAGGGTCAATATTTCACCACTAAACAAAATATAAAGTAATTTTCCACATAGGATAACACAATCAATTTTTAGGCCATTAAAAACATCTTTAGATGACTTAAAGTGTTTAAAAAAAAAAAACCCACAA